ACGCAAAAGGTTGAGCCGATATTCGCCGTCCATCCACTTAAAGGAACACTCCACTTTTCTTTTATTGGCTCATTTCACAAGTCACCTACAGTTGAACAGTTGAGATTTACCATTTTTGAAACCATTCAACCGATTTACGGATCCGGGAGCACTTTTAGCTTAGCTTAGCATAAATCATTGAATCGGATTAGACCATTAGCATCTTGCTCAAAATTTTTAAAAAAGAGAGATTAGTTCATTTTACTATTTAAAGCTTGACTCTTCTGTAGTTACATCATGTACTTACAGCTGCTATTTTCTAGGAACTATACTCTCATTCCGGCGTAATAATCAAGGACTTTTGCACCAATGGTCCAGCAGTAATGTTTCTTGATTATTACGCCAGAATGACAGTATAGATCCAAGTCATATTGACTTAGTAACTACAGAAGAGTCATGCTTTAAATAGGAGAATTATCAAAACTCTTTGGTCACTTTTGAGCGAGATGCTAATGGTCTAATACGATTCAATGATCTATGCTAAGCTAAAAATCGTAAACAGTAAAAACTGTAATATGGGCCTATTTCAAAAAAAAAAAAGTGGAGTGTTCCTTAAAACATGTGACTGTTTGGTTGTAGGAGAATAAAGAGGCGGTCTGATTCGCAAACTGACATTTTAACAAGAACTGTAACCATTTAGGTAGTAGCATTACAGTGTTTGAGCAACGTTTAATGTTGGTTTGTGGCAAAAGCCAAGCTGCCGCATATAAAGACGGTCATTACATGCCATTGTGAGTTCAAAAGGCATGCCAACAGTTCCATTAGCTTCCTCTGAGGCTCTACCTCAGGCCCAGTTGATATTACCATGCTAACTTTTCTTAAGGTTTTCATGGTGACAGGCTGAAAAGGTGGATTCTTTCACTACATAAGCATTACATCTGTTTGAAACCATATGACAAGGAAAGAAAATCACATTTGTGTAAAGTACACACACACACACACACGAAAAAAAAAAAACAACTAATCAAGTATATCTCAATATCTACTAATTTTTCAAAAACATATTCATATATGCAATATACAAAACCCGAACATATTTTTGCCAAACCTGAACGAACGTTTCAAGCTTCTTTTGTTTTTAATGTAATGTGTACACTGCAAAAAGTCGATTTTTGCCTCCGTTTTTAACGTTTTTCAGTACAAATATAGTTTTTTCATAAATTTTTTTGGGCAAAAAACATACAAATATCTGCCAGAAAACTAGGAAAAATTAATTTAAAGGTAAAACATGCTTAGCTTTCTTACTCCACTGCAATACATTTTTGTTGTTTTAATACTGACTAACCAAATATTAAATAAAAAAAAAAAAACCTTAACAACATTTTTTTTTTTACCTCAACCTCACAACTTTAGTGTGTTTATAAAACATATCAAGTAATAATCATGTTTTTATTGCCAATGCATGGACTAGGGCTGCACAATATATCGTTTCAGCGACGTTTCGCAATGTGATCATTCACAACAGTCACATCGCAGGATATATGCAATGTTATAATTCATCATTTGCTTGTGTTTTTGATGCCTGAGATTGTATAATGACCTAATATAACTTTTTATTACTATAATAACAGCATTCAGGAATAATAAATTGTACCATCTGTGACCTTAACGATGATTACTTTTATTAAAATATTAGTATTTTGGTCATTCAGTTACTGTACTTGAATACTGTTACGCCCCATTCACACGGGGCTTCAGCGTCAACGCTTGACAGAGGCGTGTCTGAAGTTGGGGCTGACGCAATCATCATAGCAGCGTTAGCCAATGAAATTAGCCAGCAATAGGCCACTGTCTGAGCCGATGTATTTGCATACAGCAATCTGATTGGCTGACGCTTCCGTTGCCGCTTGAAACGTTGAGAAAGTCTCAACCTTTGCAGCGAGCAACGCCACTGAAGGGGCTGCCGACGGATCCACAATGCAGTTCAGCAATGCCACCTATTCAAAGTGAATGGAAAGCGTTGAAGCTGACGCTCCATGTGCATGAGGCGTTAGACTCGGGGAAAAAATAAAACACTGTGTTTCAATTGTATCTCTTTCTTGTTTGTATTTATAGATTGCTATGCATGAAAATACCCACAACACATGCAAATATAGAATGTATTGCAAATAGCACAGACCACAACGAAAATGTGTTGGAGGACCCGAAAAAGTTTAAAGATTGTTTGTTAGATTTCACAAAGATGCCAATAGTAAACATTAATTCAATCTCCGACTAAGAATATGCATGAAAATACTCACAACACATGCAAATATAGAAATGCACTGCAAATAGCAGCACAGACCACAACGAAAACACGACGTGGGGAAATTTTATAGATTGTTTATAAGATTTCATGGAGATGCACTCCCAGTGCAGAATCATCCCCATCGATCAACCATTATACATCCTTTCCAAATAGAGATCTTAAGTCATCTGGTGAAATTGAATTCATATCGCAATATATATTGCAGAATAAAAAATATCGCAATAAATAATATCGCAATAAAAAACATCGCAATAAAAAACATTGCAATAAATAATATCGCAATGTTAGATTTTTCCAACATTGTGCAGCCCTAGCATGGACACACACTAGCATAATTTTGCTATTTATTTCCGAAACCAAACTAAAGTCTTCATTAATAACTCCCTTAGAAATATTTGTACTGAAAAACAAAACAAATGCTGAGGAAAAAAACTATTTGTGCAGCGTATTGTGTGTGTAGTTGTTTTCTAAGCCATCGTTTTCCCCAGCTGAATTAAGATGAAACAAAAAAATCAAATGTAAAAAGTTTGTAAAACAGGATCTTGTGCAGTCCTTAAGTCTATTTCAGTACATCGTTTGAACCCGTACTGAAAGAAACCAGGCAAAAACAAACAAATAAACTGTTTTCAAGACTGGAGGTAGGTATTTGTCAGCTGATTATTAGTCCGTTTTTATCCTTTTTTTTTCTCTTTTTGAGGTAAATATCTGAATAGTACATAACTAAAACTAGAAATTCAGAGCAATAGTGAAGAGGAGGGGAGAAAAAATAGAGAAGGAGAAGGGAAAATCCATTCGCAACATTATCATTTAGTGTCATACAAGCACTTGATCCTTAGAAACCATTGAGTAAAATCAGTACAAAATATATATTCAAGTTAAAAATGTAAAACAGACATCCCAGCTGCAGAGACAAGAGTGTCTAGTTACAAACGTCAGATATATGCTAATGTGAAAAAAATAGAGAGAGAAATTAACTAGAAACAAACACAGTACTTTTTCTTTTCCCTTAGCTGCATGATTAGTTCTACATATGACTATAAACAGACCTCAGAATTCAGTTATTACCTGCCCGACTCTTATAAAAAAAAAGAAAAACGAAATTCAGAGCGTTCGCCTGCCCTTACGACAAGGTTTTGTTTTCAACGTTGGCACTCGCTGCCATCCCCTGCTTTATAATGAGAACTATATAGCAGCGTGTGTCTTTCATGTGTTGGTTTGCTGGTAGAAGAAATCAGAGGTAGTTTTGAAAATGGTGAGGAGATATTGCATTGGTGACGGGTGCTGGCGTACTTTCGGATACCGTTTGACGCCATCACTGCGATTCAGGTATTTTTGTGTGTAATGAGGTATAGTGTGGTTTTTGTTCCTGTGGTTTCTTGAGGTTTCGATCAGTTTCCCTTTCGCTGAATTTTGTCAAATGGTGTTCTTAAAGCTATGCCGTACAAGAAAATAACAACACAATTATGTACATGTATGGTAATTAAGCAAAATATGTACAGTAGAGCTACTGTTCTGGAGTAATGTTGAAAACGGTCTCTAACCGAGGCGTTTAATGTTGAAATAAAATTGAAAATCACCACCAAGGACACAAGGGGTATGGATATATGATACTAAAGAGAGAATTCACCCCCCCCCCCCCCCCACATTTTAACAGTCTGTCATTGTTCACGCATTTTAAACCTGTATGATATTCTTAGTTCTGTAAAACAGAAAAGAAGATGATTTAAAAAATGTTTACGCTGCACTTTTGCATACTATAATAGTAAATGGTGACCAAGGAATTAAAGTCATGACATTTCATTCACAGTTCCAACCCATTTTTTCAGAATTGTGAGTTTATTTCTCTCAAAGGTGTCTCCATTACATAATTCTGCGAGTTTTCCCAGTACTGGTTTGCAGCTGGAAGGGCATCCGCTGTCTAAAACATATGCTAGATAAGTTGACGGTTCATTCCGCTGTGGCGAGACCTGATTAATTAAGGGACTAAGCCAGAGATGTCCAGACAAAGTTTAGTTCCAACCCCAATCAGACACAGCTGCCTATCTAATCAAGCTCTTACTAGGCAGTCTAGAAACATCCTTGCTGGTGTGTTGAAGCAAGTTGGAGCTAAAATCTGCAGGACACCGGCCCTCCGGGACTAAGTTTAAACACCCCTGGACTAAGCCGAAGGAAAATTCATGAATGAATAAATTCTGTAAGTTAAAACAGCAAGATAAGAAAAAAACTGAATCCCGCAGTTTTGTATTCTGCAATTTAGGCATTTTTCCCATGAGAATTGCAACTTTTTATCTCCAGTTTTGACATATGAATTCAAAACTGCATAAATATATTTATACCTTTCTCAAAATGTTGATTTTATATCTTAAATTAGGATTTTTTTTTCAGATTTCTGATATATCAACTTTAAATTGTGTGAAATGAAATTCAGAATTGATTTTTACTCACAAATACTTCTGTCAAGCTTTAAAAAACATTTTTAAAAAAACACAATAAAAGTAGTCCAAATGCTAAATTTCAAACCATACAACAGCTTTGGCTAAGAAATATATTGAAATTTCAGTCATTATTGACTTAAAAACTCTCTTAACAGCCATGGTCACCACTTACTTTCACTGTATGGAAATGGTGAGCCTAAACATTCAACAAAACATCTCCTTTTGGGCTTCATCAATAATAATAAAAAAAGAGGGCGAATAAAATGAGAATATTCATGTTAAGGTATCCACTTACTTCATTTACAGTAACTAACAACCTCTGGTTGCATCTTAAAGGCAATATCTTTAAAGCTCACTATCATTTTGGTCAAAATGTAGTGGACTGAAGGAAAAATGGAGTATTGTAACTTGGTATAATGTCTTTGGTGGTACGGTACTGTAGAGAGCGGGTTCTTTTTGTGAAAGGGTGTGTTCTTTTAAGCTCCACCCTGATACAGAAAGCACCACATGCTGAATGATAAAACCAGACCGATTCGCCTTCTTTACCAATGTAGCTTGGAAAATCAGTCAACAAGTGTGTGTAAGTGGGGTGCAAAGAACCGCTGTAGCACATATTGTATGTTTAGCCCCTGCACCATCATGCTTACAGCAGTTTGTGGGAAGTGGAAACAGCAAGGCGGCTCCAATTGATCTGCAAGATGTTTGTTTGCATTTGCATCACTTTTTTGTTTCGGGTTACGCTCTGAGGTGTTGTGTGTGTTTATCACAAAACAAACAGAGGAGAAAAAACGAAAATAAACAATCAAACGAAAGTGGGAAGTCAATAATAAGTGGTCAAGGCAGTCTTTTCCCTTGGAGAGAGCTGACAGCTGGATGAGGTAGAGGTAAAATCCTGTGGTTGCTTAATCCTCTTCTGCCTCCTCCTCCTCCTCCTCCTCTTCTTCTTCCTGCAAAACACAAGAGTGGTGTAACGGTCAGTGTTGAGTTACTTCAACAAAGTTATTCATTCATTCTCTTTATTTGTCAAGGGTCGCCACAACAGAATGAACCACCAGCTTATCTAGCATATGTTTTACACAGCGGATGCTGCAACCCTGTACTGGGAAACATCCACACGCACATACATTACAGCCAATTTAAATTATTCAATTCACCTATGGCGCATGTCTTTGGACTGTGGGGGAAACCCTGAGCATGCAAAGGAAACCCATGAGGAGAACATGCAAACTCCACACAGAAATGCCAACTGGTCCAACCAGGACTCGAACCAGTGACTTTCTTACTTTGAGGCAACAGTGCTAACCATTGAGCCACTGTGTTGTCCATATCTAAATAATTATTACCTAAAAATAAAAAATAAGCCCCTTACTTTACATTTTCAGTGGAAAAGTCATTTAACTACGGTAACTTGTTACTTTGTAACTAATTACACCCAATACTGGTAACAACACAGTGCGACGCAAATGTCTGACTGACAGAGCTGAAGGTTTCTTTTTTGGCCATTGTTTTGGTTCCAAATGTTCTTTTTCATGAGCTCAGGCAGCCACTGTCCCACAGCTGACCACCATTGAAGCGGTATAGGATGGCGTTGAATGGGGGGCAGGGGGAGACGCTTGGCTTTTGGCACTTTTCAGAATGAAATGGATTTCGTTTTCCACATGGCTTCATTTTATTTGGGGAGGCTAACTGACACAATTTATAACCCTCTTCCTTTGCCTAGTCGCTGCGTTGCTCCCATTCAGGGGAAAGGCCGTGGCGAAAGCCCGCCTGCATTATATGAGCCAAACTCCATTCATTAGTGCGGCAGACACTTCAGCTGTGAAGTACCAGCTAAGCGCTACCATGTGTGACATGGGCGAGTGAAAGAATGGAGATGGGGGGCGGGAAAGAAGGGAGAAAAAAAAAGTCTTTAATCATATTCGGACACCCCCGCCTGCCAGCCGTGCTTCTGACTGAAGTGCCACACGGAGCAGAAAACACCAGCTTAGTTACAAACTCTCACACGCTCAAATGCAATATCGCATTTCTTTTGTAGCACTGTAACTGTTACACCTTTTTCACAATTCTTTTGATCGTCTTTATTTTTTTGCAGTTTAAATGATTGAATAACATTGTCACGCATCATCGCTCGCTCTTTCATTCTGAGCAATTAGAGGCGCAGCTACAGCACTCGACAAACACTAAAACTTTAATGGAATTCTGTTCCTGGAAAGAAAGAGAGAGAGAGAAAATCCGAGGCCAAGATTACCATGCGCTTGGTTTAACCATCACCACCAGAGAAGTTGGTTCAGCATTGGGTTTATGGCGGATTGTGTGTTCCCTTTGAAGTTAACTAGAAGAGGCACTAAAGCTAATTATAAAGCAATGCAATTAGGAATATCAAATATTAACAAAGGATGGATTAGTAAATAGGTTGCCCTCACAGTTTGTGATTAATCAGTATTAAAATGCTAGTTTACCAGACGGCTGTTGTTGTCTCAAAGTGTGATTTTTTTTTATCAGCTAATTTCGAGAGGATCACATTCTTGTGATTGAACACAGCTGGTACTGCATTAGCTCTGTATATTTGCACCAATCAGATGAATACTGACACACCATAAAATGTCAGAGCTTTCTACTCCAGTCATCTTCGTTTTGAAGAATCCCCCCTTCCACCCCTACTCCTCCCCTTTTCTGATAGGGTGGCACGGCAGCCCAGTGGTTGGCACTATTGCTTCACAGCAAGATCATCGCTTGTGCGTCCCTCTGCCAGCCGCTCTGTTTCTGTGCCGAGTTTGGATGCTCTTCCCATGTTCAAGTGGATTTTCCCCAGGTTCTCTGGTTTCCTCTCACCGTTCTAAGACATACATCATAAGTAAATTGACTACTTCAAAATAGCATCCTAAGGCAACTCTTAGTCAGCAGTTCACAAGTACGTGATTTCTCGAGACCTACCTGAGCTCAAACTCTCCTCTCGCCCTTCAAACGGGCTTCCCAGGCTCAAGGATATTCTGAGCTTAGGGCTCTTTCCCGGGACAGCATGCCAAATACGCTTTATTATCAATCATTAGCTAAGTTTGAACTCTTGAAACCATTTGAAGAGTGTTTCTTCTAGATATTTTTAACCAAATCTGAGATTTCTATCTGAGAGTTCATATGAAACTCTAATGCTTCAATATATTAAATAATTAATTAATTCAGCTTTGCTAATCTCAAACGTTTGTAGGTTTGAAATGAAGTAAGAATGAGTAAATTATTTTGTACCAAAGTAACCCTCACTTTAAAAAATGCTGGGTTCCAAACAATTCCTTCATGTTGTCCCAACACAAATCAATTAAGTTAGCTTAAACATATTTACAAATTTAAGTGGAGTTATCATAAAAATTTAAGTTTTCCCAAAAACTGAAGAATTGTGTTGTTTCACAACAATACAATGGGACTGAATGTTTACCAGTAAAAAATAATAATAATAATCTTTTGTGTTTCAAGAGTTCAGACTCAGATATGCTTGCCGTTAATAGCAGGTTTGGCATGCTGTCCAGGGAGAGAACTCTGAGCTCTGAGATAATTGAACCCAAGGCTCCCGCCTAGTCAATAAACATACATAGTGGGTACGAGATCAGGTAGTTCTTGAGAGCTGCCCCTGGAAAAGGAGGAGATAGGGTGGAAGGAGAGATTCTTCCAAAAATGGCGATTCAAAACGGAGTTCAGCTGCCTTGAACCAGGCCGAAGCACGCTTGTCCCCCGTCCTGTCTGCTCCAAAGGCCCGCACTCACATTACATTTGCGGCGTGAGTGCGCCCTCAGTCTATTTATTGTAAAGTTGGATAAATCTGATTTGATTATTACTGATTACAGATAAAAATCTAATCGTGCTCAATCATATCATGTGCTCCTCTCAAAATTAGTTTATAAAACTTCACTTAACAGACGAAAGAAACCCTAATGTGTTTGGATTAAATGATGGCATTTTCATTTTTACTCCAAAAAAATGTTGCTTCTTCTTGCTTCTTCAAGGTACTTATTTAAAATAAGCTGAAACAGCATAATTCTTGAGTTTTGTTTTGTTTTAGAAGCTTAATTGTTTTATGAAGCTTAATCGATTTACATTACAATGACATAAAGGGATTGTGTGGAACCCAGCATTTTTTACAGTATTGCTTGAACTATCCCTTTAAGCAAACTCTGCATAGACTTTACATTTTTCACTTTTAATTCTTAAGACTTTTTGGTGCCATTTACACTAATGTGCTGTCCTTTTTAAACATTATAGTTTTAGGACAACTTTGATGAAAGGTTTTAATCAACTTCAGATAGCTGCGCCAACGTTTTCAAAAGTTTGCATTTCAGTTCGTTTACACTGAAACAATACCAGCGTTTCCAAACTAAAACAGAGTCTTCAGCATTTTCACAACACTCCATTTTCACAGGCGGGGGTAGTATGAACACAGAAACCGTAACAAAACATATGCATTTTAAAATGAAAACACAATATTGTAAATGACACCTCACAAATAAGTTCAAAAAAGCTGAATAGAGGTCTTGAGATGCATTTAAAAAAAAATTTTAATCGCTCATGATGTGAGATCTTTAAATAACAAAGACTCCATGACCGAGAATGAGGATTCATTGCATTTAATTAAACGGTATTGCCTTCCAGTTTACAGATAACATCTTGAAGTACCTATAGATGTGTGTGAGCATGTATGCATTGAGCCTCCAGTGTGGCTCAAAGCCATCAGGGTCTTTGATTTCCCACATAGCCACAAATCAGGCCTCAGTTATGCATTCACACCGTAAACTGGTCCGCACCAGCGAACAAGAGGAGGTGAGCATATTCCTGGTAAATGTGTGGAAGATTGTATAGTTGTGGGGGGGATTGTAGCCCAGGCCATTGTGTCTTTTCTTATTAGGGTCTTTACACTCAAATCAAGCCAACATAAATGACAAACATAACCACTTTATGCCTATTGTTTTTGTTTTTAATACATGTGTGTTATGTATTTATTTATTTGATTTATACTATGACCTCAAATAATCTTTCGGAGTGGTCACACTTCATTTTGATGGTCTGTTTGTTGAATTTAAGTTACATTGCATCTACATGCAATGTAACTTAACCACACATGGTAGGGAAAGTAACTGAAAAAATTGACCTGGAAAAATGAGATCGGTTATAGGTTCTTAATGTTGATTTCGATTAGTTTTCAATTAATTGTCCAGCCCTAGTGGAACCTGCCTTTTTGAACAGCGTATGTCAAAACTTCACCTGCATTTAATACCCTTTATGTGTATAAAATTCTCTAAATTTGTAAACTTAATGCAGGGCTGTCCAAACAGAGGGCTGTTGTCCTGCATAGTTTAACTCTTACTTTCTTCAACACACCTCCCTGGAAGTAGCTTAATTAGCTTAATTAGCTGGTTCAGGTGTGTTTAATTGGGGTTGGAACTAAAATATTAAGGACACCGGCCCTCCAGGACCGAGTCTGGACAACCCTGACTTAATGGGATGATTTGGCCTCATATATGAAACATTTGTAAACAGAGTCAAATTTTTAACAAAAATGAACTTCAAAACACCTTGTACAGGGTTCATATTTTTACTGCAAAAATTCCAGTTCTTTTCCATGACTTTTCCATAACTTTCAGGTAAATATTCATGACCTAATGTTTCATGGAATGCCCATGTACATGTGGTAAATAGGAAGAAACGTATGTTCAAATTTATTACAGCATATCAAACAACATGTGACAATCTAGTACATTTATTTTATACCTGTAAAATAGTTTTTAGAAAATATCTTGTGTGAAAATTTTTAGAAATGGTGGCTTGTGTCTTCACAGGTCTTCACAAATAAGCCTTTAGCACCCACATTATCTTACCTCTGTAGTTAGAGATTGTTTCTGGACATGACACTCAAATGTATCTTGAATTACGATGAATGCAAGTGAAAGAGAGGTGAAGCTGAAACTGCAAGCTGCTTTTAGCCCCACACAGAGAATGTCACGTGAAGGGATAGACATCACAATTATATTTGAAATTTACCCAATATTATCATCTCAAATATATTCAAGTACACAGATATTTGTTAAACAAATTTCCATGACTTTTCCAAAACATTGTGGGTTTATTTATTTTTTCCAAAACTTTTCCAGGCTTGGAAAATACATTGTCAAAATTCCATGACTGTTTCAGGTTTTCCAGGACTGTAAGAACCCTGCTTGTATATGTGAATATATACTGTACATATTAATAGTGAAATAGTTTAAATAAATAGAATAATTAGTTTTACTATTAATAGTGAAACATATTAATAGTCTAATGTATATATTAATAATAAAACGTTTTAATAGGAAGGAAATTGGTTTTAACATTTTTACACAGAGATGGCAATTAAAATAAAGGGAAGGAATTAATTTGATTATATATTAAATAGTCTAAATTATTTACATATATCAATATTAAGATCTCAATAAGAATCAACATGTTGTTTATTTTCATATATATTTTAACGCTATTTTTTATTGAGTCCCATTAGCAACCGGTATACAGGCGTTAGACTGCTGTCCTTCTTTTCTTCATGAGCACATTAAAGCAGCGGTGTGCACAGAGACTATAGAGTCCAGTCCATTGTTAATACGCTGAAGGAATTTTGACAAGAGAGGAAAAAAAAGGGGGCAACTCTTCAAAACTAATCCTGTCTGCCAGATTGCATATCCATCTGTGAGGGGATGAAACCGAAGAAGACTGGGATTCCACACATAGCGCTATAGGATTTACATTAGCTTTAACCACACAGGTCTCTCATCAAACCAGAATTATGCCCCCCTTTCACTCACTTGGGCTTTTTGTGAGCTTTGTAAACCCAAACAGCAAATCCCCTTCCTCATACAATCATCGTCAATCTTTTTTGTTTTTTTTTGGCAAACTTCTAGCCAACTTCTTCGTTTCAGTTTCATATACAGTTAAAGTCAGAATTATTAGTCCTCTTGAATTATTAGCCCCTCATTTCTAATATGTGATTTTAGCCATGACGACAGTAAATAATATTTTACTAGATATTTTCTTTAAGATGCTAGTAGCTTACAGTGCAATTTAAAGGTTTAACCAGGTTAATTAGGTTAACTAGGCAGGATAGAGTAATTAGGCAAGTTATTGTATAACAATGGTTTGTTCCGTAGACTATCAAAAAAATATAGCTTAAAGGAGCTTATAATATTGACCTTAAAATGGTGTTTAAAATAATGAAAACTGCTTTTATTCTTGCTGGAATAAAACCAATAAGACATTTTCCAGAAGAAAAAATATTATCAGACATACTGTGAAAAATTCCTATTTGATAGGATTAATCATTTTGACAGTAACTGTATACATGAGTGCATGTTCACCTGCTGTATTTATTATTTAGTGCAAGATTTCATTTGCTGTATAGTGCAAAATAAGATATTGTTTGACGTACCTGAGCGGGCTTTTCCTGAACCACTTGTTGTGGCTGAAAGACAAAAAGAGAAACAATTATGACTTTCTGAATGCAGAATACACTTATTTTAATATTATTTTTGAATAAACTGATAGCTCTTATGCATGATTTAGGATCAGTGACAAAATGGCAGGAGAGAACATTCACATACGTACATACATACATTTATGTAGATCTTATCTAATATAAATATGATATATTATTAAATCTAACCTCCATAAAAACACCATAGAGGACATTTCATTATTTATGATCTGCATAAATAATATATCTATTTAAGTATAACATATTTATACAAGTTCTCTGCAAAATGGTATATACATGTACACATACAGTGCTCAGCATATATAAGTACACCCCTCACAAATCTATCTCACGAAGCTCTACAATACTATATCTGTGCATATACATTAGATTAGTCAGTACTGAAGCCAAATCTAGAGCTTATCTAACAAATTAACCTACAATAACGGTAGATAAACTAGTACACCCACATTTATGTTAAAGAAAAATATTAAATACAAATTTAAAAACAAGGAAAAACAAGAGAAGCAAAAATAATTTGAATTAGAAATTTTGTAGGTTGTAATTTGTTTTTGCGATATTTTGCTGGATTTGGAAATTTTCCATTTCTAAATATGTTTGGTGACTAAAATATTATTTTAATAAATATATCTGTTTAATAAATCTGTTTTGTTTAAATGCACCAAAAATTGTGCATTTTGTACTGTCTGGAGCCAGCATCTGAGCTTTTCAATCATCATAGCACACGTGCTGCTGATGATGCGATGATGAAAGTGATTTGATTTGAATACATTGCCTATATTCACTGAGAAATAGATAAAAATATTCATTTTTCAACTTGGGGTGTACTCAATTATGCTGAGCACTGTATAAGTATACAGATACATGAATATATACATTTAAACAGATTATATGTAATACAACAAGACATATTTTATATAAAAAATTATATATATATATATTATTTATATATATATGTTGTTGTGAAAAATCCAGGTTAGCTAAGAAAAGATCAGTTTCTTAGCTCCTATGATGTTATGTTATGTTATTCCCAAATTCTTATTGTGTTGTTAATGTTATTTAATAATAAAAAAATGCTCCAAAAGATTTTTTTATTTTTAAAATGGTAACAAAAAATGTCATGAGTATTAAAGTATAAATCATACATAAAAAAAAAGTTTTAAAATAACTGTAAAGGGAGATATTTGTTGTCTTAAATTATATTTTATAAAATATTTAAATGTATGTATATTTTATTGTTCATATAGTTCATATTGTTCATGAATGTCCATGTGTGTGTGCACTAGTGCTGCACGATATTGGAAAAGTCTAGCCTTGCAATGTCTTTCTGCGATTAATATCGCCATATATAAAGACAATTTCAGCAGTGACATTTAAACCACACTAAACTGAACTAAACTGAACTCTGAAAACTGGACTGACACGGTTTCAGTTTACTAGAACTTCTATGTTAAGCTGCTTTGACACAATCTACACTGTAAAAGCGCTATAAAAAAACATGAAACATTTCAATTAAATAAACAAATTCACCAGATGACTTAAAAACTGCTATTTAGAAAGACTTTATTCATTTAGATTGAGTGGAAAGATTCTGTAGGGAAGTGAATCATTCATAAAAATGTCAAAAATCTATTTTAAAGCAAAAATAAAAGTGAAATAAACTGTGTTTCAGGATTTTCGGGGCAGTCAAATAGTATTCAGGTTCATAATTTATGAAGTTTATTTTTAAACTAATTTTGAGAGGATCACATGCTTAGGATTGTTTGCGGCTGGTCCCGCATTATTCAATTCATGATTCACCAATCAGATGATTCCTAAGCCACTATAACTACCCTAAGTTCCATAAAACAGCCGTCTTTGTTTTGAAGAATCCCCCCTTCCACCGCTATTCCTCCTTTCCTAGATGGGTGGCACGGTGGCCCAGTGGTTAGCACTGTTGCCTCACAGCAAGAACGTCCCTGGTTCTAGTCCTTACCAAGCCAGCCGAGCCAGTAAGTAGTTATCTCTTAAGAGCAATCACTATCTGTTCATCAGCTACTACAGCAGGGGCGTTCTCGAGATCTACCTGAGCTCAAACTCCCCTCTCACCTTGCAAATGAGAGGGAGCCCTGGGTTCAAGGTTCTTATGAGCTCAGGGATCTCTCCAAGGACAGTGTACCAAACAATCTTTATAATCAATCCTCAGCTAAGTGTGAACTCTTGAAAAACAATTAAACGTAGAATAACACTGCAAACGTCATTACTGTATGAATAATTTAATAAAATGACTCTTTATTAAATTTACGAATGGTAAAACCTCTTGTGTCTGAATACTCTGAACGCTCTCAGGCCTTAAAATCACATGCAAACTAAAAACTTTTACTCCATTATAGTTAAACTCTCTAATAACCATACAATTCTCATGAGTCTGCTTCTTCTGGTCAACTATAAACATCACTCAACATTGCAGATCCTGCGATGTGACTATTGCGAATGTGCACACACCATCTGAAACGATATATTGTGCAGCTCTAGTGTGTACGCATAGGAATGTACACAGCAGTGTCTTCACAGGGACGAGGGTGCCAGATACAATGCCCAGATTGTGCCCTACTCGCATTACATCATAAACGCTAAGCGCTGCCACCCCACAGGAAGTGCTTCTAAGACCAGATCTTGACAGCTGAAGAGTCCAGCAAAAAATAAAACCCTGAGAGTGTCCAGCGTTTGGAACCAAAGCCAGCAGCACACACATACGCACACACATTTGGGATTGTTGAGAGCAGCTGGTGTGTGTTGTGCCAGCTCTCCCTGGAATGCTATCAGGCTGTAACACAGTAAATGTCAACACCGGATGGAAGCGAGCGAAGAACGCAGCTGGCGATAAAGGGAAATTGGGAAAATGATGCACACATTCCGAACGGGATGGATGGAGCACAAATACACTTTGGAGATGGCAATAAATCCAACACCTTCCTGATTGCATCTATTTACAAACGCGTGAAATATAAGCTGCCATGTGTGCATTACCACTAACAGATGATCACCGATGTCCAAAACCACACTGTACGTTACATCACCGGTGATACTGTACATGCAGAAAAAAATATTGCAGTGTAGGAGGAACTGGGAATCATTTATTATATTAATAGTTTATTTAATAAATAAAAAAATATATATGCTTATAACTGCTTGTTAAGGATGGATAATGTAATGTAATATTGTTTTATGTATTTAAATAAAATAAATAAAATTATGTACAAAGCTTAGTTTATTAAAATAAAAATAATATATAATCTATAACGTAATAATGTTTGTTTAATAAAATAATCTAAAATAAAACTAAATAAAATAAAAATTTAATTAAAAATAAAATAAAATAAAATAAAACAAAATAAAATAAAATAAAATTCAATTCAATTCAATAAAATTCAATAAAATTCAATTAAATTAAACATATACTACTATGGAACTGTTTTTAAAATACGGGTAGTCGTTGCCTCGAGTTTTATGAAAAATAAACAATTTTAGCTAAAAAATCTTCTTTAAAATTCTATTTAAAGTCAATTTGGATGCTCAAGTGAGCAAATTCTATAATTAATTACCTTTTAATTAATTAATTTTATATATTATTAACTATATATAGTATTTATAATTACCTATTCAAAAATTCCTTGCACTGTAGGAACTGGGAATTATTTATTATATTAATAATGTGCTTCTAACTGCTTGTTGAGAATGTATAATGTATGATGTAAAAACATTTTGTTTATTAAAATAAAAGAAAATAATGTATAATGTACAACAATAGTGTTGTGTTTAATAAAATAAAATAAAATATTTTTTTATTTAATTAAATAAAAAATGTAAAGAAAAATTAAGACTAAAATATAAATTAAATTGAATTAAATTTAAATTAAATAAAAAATTAAAATTAAATTAAAAGAAATTAAAAGAAAAATGCTAGTACTAAATTTAAAAAAAATCTAATCAATTAAATCAAACGGAAAATTAAAACTTAAAATCACATTAAATTAATTAAATTAAATTAAAAATTAAAACAAAAAGTTACATCAAATTAAATTAAATGGAAATTTTTAAATAAAAATTAAATTAAACATATACTACAATGAATAAAACTGGTAGTCGTTGGATATTAGCCTTGGATATTATGTATAATAATCATCAATCATTTCAGCTAGAAATCTTCTTTAATTTATATTTAAAGTCACCTTGGATGCCCAAGTGAATAAATTAAAAGCAGATTTTAATTTTTGGGTGAACTTTCCCTTTAAACATCTATAGTTTTTGAATGCATACAGTACATTTTTGCTGCATTTATTCTATTCATGTACGCAAAAAAACTACAAATGAAGCTAAACCAGTCTCTAACTTTAACTGTATCCAACCACAATAGCAACCATAATATTAGAGAACATTAATTCAAATACAAACTAGTTCAAGTCACTAAATACTAAGTGGGACCACAACTATGATTTTTATAAAAGCGGTAAAACGAAAGCACTAAATAATAATATAAATGCAGATAGGACCAAATAAGGGGAGGGTTCGGCTCTGACGGATATAGGCTATCAGGTGACATGGAAAAAGCTCTCAGACACTATTTGCGTCTCTGCGGTAAATTTGGGGTAATCGTTTTGGAGGAGATACATTTAGCCATCAGGTCCCGGATATCCAAACGTCTTAATTATAGATCACTTGCAGACAGCTGGAATAAACTGAAAATGAGAGGCATGAGAGAGGCTATGAATTAAACGCAAATAATTCACATTAAAGTCAAAATGGCTTTTTTTCTCCTGACTGATCTGCTTTTAATGTTGGAAGTCATGCACACTGATCAAAATGAAATTAATTAGTGTGAAAAGTTAATTGTGAGAATATTATCTTTGGTTGTGTGCTGAGTTTAATGATCTGAAAACCGTAAAACCGCGATAGGTGACCTATTTAGTGTGTAGTTTTCACTGTTC